CTTCCTCGATCTCCACCCGCGCTCCCCAATATACACCACTGTCTGTAGTCTGTATGAAAATGATTAATACAATAGATTGGAACCAGGTACCCACTTGTACTCCTGGGTGGAGAGACACGCCTAAGGACACAAGCGATTTGCACAGCCAGAGTTTCGAACCCCCGACCTCGAGGTTGATTCTAAGCCACAACCGATGCGCCAACCGCTTATACTCACTGAGTCAACATTTTATTACTATGCATAATTTTAAGATCACGCTACTGAAGATTTTCCATGAGCACAACAACACAGTGCACTTTTTCAGGCACTCACTGCACGCGATAAAAAATATATCGGTCGAGAGCAAGGTAATGCCCCATGTTATCGTCTGCTTCGAGCGATTGCCGATTACCAATTACCATAGTCAAAGCCGCGCATTAACTCTAATTTAATTTACGGTAAAAAATTTTTTGTTATAGTGATTTGATATGATTTACCTTGTACCATTATCTACTGATCGGAATTATTAGAGTTACTAAGTGATTGGATGTTATGGAAATGAGTTTTTTTTTTTTATTCAAAAATAAATTATTAGCTATGCGTGATGCGGTACTTAGGTGTATTTATATTGTAATAGAATTATGATTCGTTGCGTACTGTAATGGAGGTCAACAGGTTATTCGATTTTCATGATTATAGAATATTACATCACACTATAATAAAAAGATAAAAAAATCAATTACGACACCAAAATGTAGACATTCAGTGTAAAAATGAAATTTAATTGAATTTGATAGTAGGATATTATAAGTGTACCTGATTAGTGTATAAATCGAGGTCATATAATCATATGGATGTGTGGCATTTAAATATTAATGCAGTGACAGATCCAGAATTTTTTAAATCAATCAATCTCTCTTTATTGCAAAAACATACATTATACAACATGGTATGACCATAGAGAAAATAGAACAGAAGGAGTAACATCGAGCGAAGATCAAAGGTACAGACCTCCTCGCCGCGATCGTAATTATCTCACCGTTACGTAACCTACTTGACAACAAGATAAGCAGAAATCGGCAAACGCGCATGCAATGGGAGCCAATAAATAGTTTGCTCTAACCAAGCTTGGCCCCAACATGGTAACGATTTCATATAGGCCTAGGCCTAGATGTGATATAATTATACAAATAAATAAATATCCAATAATGGTATGATTTGTATTCAATATATACTGTTACGAAATTATAATAAGTATTTGTATCCAATTTTGTATTTCGGTTAAAAAATAAAAAATGGCAGTGGCAAAACAGGGGGAACGTCTCCCTGTACTCCCTCCCTATACCCGCTCCTCTAATAATATACTATTTAAATATATTGATTTAAACAATGACGGTGCATGGCGATTGTATAATACACATGATGATAAAGATAACGATGACGATTATAACGATTTTTGTTGATGTTATGTTATGATGTTGATGTTATGGTCATGTTGATATTCATTTTTATGTTTATAATATTTACGATGATACGGAATACCAGTGGTGGCGCCAAAATTTGCCCGACTGGGGGTCCGAGGTCCCCAACGGGAGGGTCGATTTCCCCGACGAAAAAATTGGGCGTGGTCGGGCGTCCCTCAAAATTTCTCTTAAGTGTTCCAGTGGGCAAAGCCCCCTGAAAATCATGACAATGAAAGGGATATAAAAGGCATATTTAATCTATTTTGGAGTCTACTAATAGGCCTATGTAGAAAATACATATACATTTTTTTCTTCCCGACGAATTGTGATTTTTCTCCCCAACGGGAGGGACAGCTCTCCCCGACGGGGGTCCTGGTCCCCTCGCCCCCCCTCCCGCTGGCGCCAC